CCGCTCCAGCCCCAGCGGGGGGCCGGTCCCGCCCCGCCGCCTCCGGCGTCCAATGGGAAGCGCGTGTCGCTCGTGACGCGCAACGCGAGGTGGCCAATAGGGCGCCTCACAGAGGAAAAGGAGCGCGGCGATTGGGTGGCGCGGGAGGCGGGGGCGGTGCGCGGGCGGTGCAGTCCCGCTCCCCCCCTTCCCCGGCCAGGCCTGTGCGGCGCATCTCTTGGTCGCTGGTTCGAGTCTCACCCCCGGCTAACGCGTGCGCTGAGTTGCGGGGTCTCAGCTCGGGACAAACAGCAACTGGGGTGGAGGGTCTGCATCGAGGACCACGCAGGGAGCCAGGCCGTCCTGGCAACGCTCTACCAGAGAAAGTGGTACGGGTGGGGACACTCCGGCCTGAAAATTGGGGCCCAGTCCCGGGCCTGAAGTGGCAGCACCCACCAGCTCCACAGCAATGTTGGGACGGCAGCGCGGGCGGCTGCAGCCCCGCTGTTCACACCCCATTGACCCCCTCTGCAGGAGCCATCTGAGRAAAAAAAAAAAAAAGGAAAAGGGGAAAAAAAGAAAAATACTGTTTATTTCACACCACTACATCAAGTGCATCGGTCTGACGTGTCCCCAGTGGGGGACGTGGCCCCTGGTGCCCCCTCGCCTGGCGGTGCCATCCACGGCCACGTCCCTCCCTGTGCCGGCTGCCCCCGGCCCCTCTCTGCGCTCGGCTCCCACCGGCGGCAGGGGACGGGGCTCGGGACACCGAGGGGGACACACTGGGCTCACGGCGACATTAGGGATGGGGGCAGATCGGGCGCAAAGTGCTCACGGTTGGGGCGGGCGCTGCGGAGCAGCCCCCCCCCCTTCTCTATTTCACCTCTTCTCCCATTTTTAGGGGATCTGAAAGACGTTGAGCTTGCTGGTGTTCTTGAGCGTCTGGCGGCGGTTGCAGAACCAGACGCGCACGACCTCGCGGTCGTAGTTGAGCTCCTTGGCGATCTCGGTGATCTCCTGGCCCGTGGGCAGCGCGTTCTTCTCGAAGTGGGCGTTGAGCGCCTCGATGGCCTGCGGCGTGAAGGACGTGCGGCGCTTGCGCTTCTTGGAGGGCTCGCCGCCCACGAACTCCAGCAGGTTCTGCTGCCCCTCCTGGTTGCGCAGCTCCGCTTCGCTCAGCCACTTCTCCAGCACCGGCTTCAGCTTCTGGGCGCTCTTGGGCGTGATGTCGAGCTTCTCGAACCTGCGCGGCACCCGCTGTGGCCACCCGTGCGGAGCCATCCCCCGGGGCGGCCGCGCGCCCCGCCGGCCGCGCGCCCCGTACCTGCAGATGGCCGACTGGCTGTAGGCAGGGCCCTCGGTGGCCGTCAGCGCTTGGCCCACCTGCGTCTGCGTGAGCCCCAGCGAGAGGCGGCGGATCTTGAAGTTCTTGGCGAACTCGCGGATCTCCTCCAGGTTGATGCCGTCCTCCTCGGCGCTGGGAGCCTGCGGCTCTGCGGGGCGCCGCGGGCCGGGTGAAGGCGCCGGCCGGGCCCTCGCGCGCTCCGGCTCRCGCGGGGAAGCCGCGCGGGACTCACTGGACACCAGCTGGCTCACGGTGGGGGTCTCGGAGCAGGCGATGGGGACGGGGGCGGCCGAGGGTTTGGCGGCCGGCGCCGCGTTGCTGATCACCACGGCCGGCTGCGGCAGCGCCGGCTGGATGGGCTGCACCTGCAGCAGAGGGCCGGGATGAGCCGAGTGGCAGAGCAAAACCCTGGTCCCCGGAGCGCCGAAACCAGTGCGGCCTCCGCACGTGGACAGGGACAGGGTGGGCTCGGAGAGGGCAGTGGAATGGGGGGGACGGGAGCAGGTTGGGACGGCTGGGAGCCAGTACGGAGCAATCCAGAGCAGCCACCACCTCTGCTCGCGCCAGGGCTGAGCTCCATCTCTGCCCATCCCAGCTGAGAACTGGGAAACTCATGCTAGGAGTGGGCCAAGCACTCGAATGCCCCCGGGATGGCCCTGCGGCTGGGTGTGCGCCCGGGTGCTTGGCTGGGTGCGGTGGCTGGGTATGTGACCAGGTGTGTGGCACCGTGCGGTGGCCGGGTGTGTGGCCGGGTGCTCACCTCACTCTTGGCGGGAGCCTCGGGGGCGAYGGATTTCTTGGTGGTGGCAGCGGGCGGGAGGGTGCCGCCGGCCAGGGTGGCGATGACCTGGCCCTGCGCGTTGAGCAGCAGCTGCGGCGTCACCGCCTGCACCTGCAGGCTGGGCGCYGTCAGCGTGGGGGGGTTCAGCACCCAGGGCAGGGTGCCGATCACCTGGGGACAGCCGCGGATGTGGGTGCGTGGCCGGCGAGTGCCCGTCCCTGTGGGGCTGCGTGGCGCGGGGCCGGCCCTACCTGGCCCTGTGCGTTGGTGATGAGCTGGCCCGCGAGGCCCTGCACGCTGGGGAGGGCGTTGGCGATGACGGGGGTGGCCGCCAAGGAGCCGAGCAGCTGGGGCTGCCCCCCCAGCGTGGCAGCGCTGATCTGCGGAGAAGCCATAGCCGCCACGTCAGGGCTGGCCGCGCGGGGACCGGCCCCGCCCCGGCCACCGCATCGTCCCCTCCAAGGCTCCTGCCACATGGAGCGGCCGCTCCGAGTCCTTAATTGATGGGGAATTCTGGCCTAAACCCCTTGTCTGCCTCCCGGTGCTGCAGAGAGACTGGCATCTGTTGCAGCCGGGGCAGCTGCGGCTGGGGACGCGGGGAGCTCCCCGTTGCAGTGCTAGGAGGACCAGGAGAGCGCAGGGCTCCCGCGAGCGTGCCRTGCCCGCGGGACCCACTGCAGCTGCCCGCGCCAGGACAAAGGGAGAAGGGGGGAAAGCGGTGCGGCAGCTCCATCCGTCTGTCCGTGTGGGCTCCTTACTATGCCAGYGTTAAAGGCAAAGCCTGCGGGCTGCACGGTGATCTGCGCCGGTGGCTCCATGGGCTTGGGCGGCTGCGGCAGCAGGGGCGCCTGGCCGGGTGCCGGGGCGAAGGTGCCCGGCGGCGGCTGCGTGGGCGGCCGGGGTGGCGGGGCCGGCTGAGCCGGTGCCTGGATCGTCGCGTTGAGCACGGCGGCCGCTGCAAACAGAGAGGAGCAGAGAGTGAGTGGGGGATGGATAGGGACAGCGGCGGCCCCGGGCACCCCCCGCCGCTCCCCATCCCTGCCTGGGGAGCCCGAGCAGCACTGCGGCTCSTGGGACGCCCTGCCTGGCACCATGGGTCCGGGGCGGGCAGAGCCCAGCTCCTCCGCTGCCGCGGGATCCATCCCGCCCCGCCGAAGTGCCGGCTTCATCCAGAGCAGCCGCTCCGGCCACTATGGCCTGTGCCATGAGAGGGGCACCTCCAGGTGCCATCAGCTCCCTGCTGCAGGTGTCTCAGTGGGGGCACATGGGAAAAAAATCCCTCTGGAAGAAGGGAGCTCTGCCAAGACATTGCCCTCGGACACACACGGGCCCTGAGGACACGGCTGTYCCCCGCTGGCACCGTGCCCGCTGCACGGGGGTGGTGAGTCCAGAGCACCGAGCTGCGTCAGCAGCGTCCTCCGCTGCCCTGCTGCCACCATCCCTCCCTGCTCCAACATCACCCCGCTCCGACAAGGCTCCCAGCGGCTTCTTCACGTGCCCACGGTGCGAGACCGCGTCAGGCTGTGGCTCAGCCCCCGAGGGGCGCGAGGAGGGAGGCCGGGCGAGCGGAAAGGGCGACCGTTACCTTGCACATTGGCTATAGGCGCTTTGAAAATTCCCCCTGTAGGAGAAGCAGCCGTCAGTCCGGGAAGGGCAGCGACCGTTGCTGTAGGAATTGTCCACACAGCCAGCCCCTGCTGACCTGCCACTTGACCTGCAATACTGATGGGGATAAGAAGAGGTTGAGTAACTGTCCCTGCTGGAACCATTACTCCTGTCACAACTGTTGCTAAGTTTTCCTGAGTCAAGACCTGCAAAAGTAAACAAGATTTGAACAAGAACAAAAATCAACGCCACTGCAGAACAGCATCAGCGAGGCACGAGCGGGCGCGACGCCTCGGCGGGGGATGCGCAGCCCCGGCGGCCGCCCGCCTCCCTCCCCTCTCCGCAGCTGGCGTCCCAGCTCCGCACCCCGGGAGCACCCGACGCGGCGCCGGCAGCACCTGGGGGTGCCGGGCCGGGGGCCAGGGCGGCTCGGATCGGGGC